AGTTTGAGGAAGTTGGGTTGGAAGGGGTGGCAGGAATGAGTTGCAGATTGGGTTAGAAGGGGCAGGAGGAATGAGTTGCACTGGAAGTGAAAGTGATCATGCAGATACTGAGAGTGGGAGGTACATCAATATTGCAGTGCAACATCGTTAGTGACGTTCAAGGATGACATACCACTTGCTGGACATGAACATTGCAAATAAGGCATGTGTTTGCATCAGTCGTGCGGGGCGTTGCATAGATTGAGGCAGAGTTGATTGAGTCGCGATCATTCCACAAACTGTTCTCTGCAAACCAATAACCTGACAAGTGCATAAGTATGTCGTCCCTAACATTGATGAAGCATTAGTTATCCTACCAGGACAAACAATGCGCCTGCATGAGTTGGTGAACAACTGAAGATGACACTAATTGTGAAATACTCACCTGCCATGACCAAAGGCAAAATGGTTGCCCTGGCTTGGACATCGGGATAGAGTAACATGGCCATCAAGGTAAAAGAAGATGTGATGATGATTCCCTAAGCCAATGGCTCACTGTGTTGATGCCCCCTAAGACACCATATCTGCATCAAATAATGAATACCATATCTTTAAAAAACCATCACCTATGTATCCCATCAATGCAACAGCCTTCATTGTGTCTTCGTCAACATCATTGTCAGCTTGACTGAGGAAGTCAGCAACTAATGATTGTGAAGTGGTACCATTTGCCTAAGGGCAAGCTGGTCATGCAAATTGCCCATGGACAGTGCACAAATGCACCATTTGTGCCTTCACCTTGTTAAAGGGCTTGTCCAAAAGCTGTTGACATGATTCTCTACTGTGTCCTATCAGGGCATAGGCTCCACGAAAGCACCAAACTGGTAGCTTTTTAACTGCAACTGACATGCCAAATGTTCAAATCATCATTAATATCATTAACATACTTATGGAAAGGAAAGGCTTTGAACATGGCAGCCCTCTTGGGAGAAAGAAGGTGTTTGGCAATGTCCAAAAGTTCTTGTGCACAGGCAATGAATGGGTCTTGTGTTCTGTGATCAGTGAGCCCATATGTCATGGCCATGATCAGCAATGCTGTGTATCTGTGGCAAGTATTTAATTGTCAGCTGGATCAGAAATTATAATGTCACTGAATCAGGGATGAATGCTTGAACTGGTTTCTGCAGGTCACCGGTGGCCTTAGAGAGATTGGGGACTAGCTTGTTTGCATGGCGAGAGTACATCTTGTGGTATGAAACAGAGGCTTCTGCCCTAAGTATTTGATGGAATATCTTGCAATGTTGTTGCAAAGTCTCGCCATACAGAAGGAGTATGGTATTGAAACCCAGTCCAGCCCTACCTCATCATCTGACCAAGAACAAGCTGGATGAGAGCAAAATGTACATTTCATTAGTAGGAATGATGGGACGATCTGAGTAGATTGCAGAATGCTTGTCCAACAACTCCTGTGTGATTGATTCAGAGTTTATGATGATCATATCGATCCCAAGGATGTGAGAGTGAATGATTTTGCCTGTTGAAAGGGACAAAATTTGATCCAAGTGCATGATGAAGACCTTGGACCACCCACCATATGTCTTTTCCCACGCAGTATATGTGAGCCAAGGTCATTTGGTGTCCAATTGTTGTGTGTTACCCAGCAATGGTAAGTGGCAAGGACCAGGCAGCAGAGGCAAAGGATAGACGCATCTGTGACTCAGACACAAAATGGCAGTCAGGGAAACAATACACAAGATCACTACAGCAAGAATGTGAGTAGAGAGCATAGGAGGAATTGTTGAAACTGAGACATTCGAACAAGACCACACTTACAAGGGCTCACCTCTTGCTTCCATAATGGCATGAACTCACCTGTGTCTTTTGACTTTTCAAGTGGGGGAAGCGGGGTGCTGATCTGTGGTGGTCAGAGAGTTGGCAAGCTGTTGTTGGGATGGGAGAGGACTTACATGCTGATCTGGTCTTCGCAAGTGGTCTCCACTGGAATGAAGCCTGCTCCCATTGGTAGTGCATCCAGGATGCAACATCATAGTAATGAATCAGCCACCAATGATGGCAATTGCCCCATACCATGACTGATGCCTGGAGATTGTCGCAGGTTAGTCTCTGGCCCCCAAGAATACATCATCCATGCAATGGACATAAGTCAATCAGTGCATGATAAGTGTGAAGATCTGTGTCAAGGATAAAGCAAAAGTCAGCATTTAAATATTAGATGTGCTTGAGAGGGAAAATGAGGTAATGATTGAAAAGTCTAAGGTAAACACAAGTAGAACAATTGTAAGATCAAGTAGGAATCAATGAAAACTGAGTACAAAGAGTGAATGAACACCACAGAGAATAGATGTTGGCAATGTTGTCAATATCATCACACTCATACTCTGCGATAGCCTTGAGAAGAGTATCATGGACATAACTGTCACCTGTAATGGTGTCATTGTCAGGTAGCGGGTGTTCATCATCATCATCAGGGTTGCCCAACATAATCTGGAATTCTATCTCCTTTTGCGATGCTGCCCAACCTTGAGTAAAGTTGAGTCACTCCTTTTTCAGGAGGAATTTGACAATCTGCAGGGCCTCTATCAGCACTGGGGAGATGCGATTCCATTTCTTAGTGTCAGTTTCACTACTTGATGAGAAGACCTGTTCACACAGAACAGAGGAGGCCTGTATGGGTAGATAGTCCATTGCAATAGCGAAAAGAGTTGGAAATACTGTCTCAGAAACCTGTCCGACCCATGGTGGTCAATGATAAGAGGTTTGATGTGAGAAGACATGCAGCTCTCACCTGCCAAAATCCAAGGATATTTGTCCCATGGCTGCTGAGAGGAGCCGTACTGTACACTCTGAACTCCTGTTTGACAGTTTGGGGACCCTCGTGGACAATTGCTAGCGTGTTCACATCAGGAAGTCCATAGCGGTGTGATCCTAGTGAGCATGGCTGCTGCTGTGGCACTGGAGGCTGGACAGCTTCAACAGGTTTCAATGCTGCTCTCTTGGCACGCATCTAGGAAATATGAAATGAATAGTTCAAACTTCAAGCAGTGGTATTGGTGAATTAGACATACTAAGTCAAGTATGTATGAACACCTTGGCAGCATCACATTGGGCTTGACTCCAATGACCTTGAATCCATGACATCCAGATGGCAGGATTGAGGACTACAAAGTAATGTGAGAAATTACACACCATCAATAACTTGCCAGACTCACACATTGAGACTGCATATGCATCTATAGCACCCATTCGCTCATCATACTTATCAGCCCAGGTCAAGCCTATGTTGATGAGAGGCATGCAGTGTGGAATGAGTATTGCAATCTTCTCCCACTGTTTGATTAACTCTTTGAAAGCTGGAACAGCATTACTCAGCACAGGAGTCCTTTCGCTTGACATGATCTGTTGGGCAACATGCGGCACCTAATATAAAATAGTGAATGGATCATGATTCTTGAATACACCAATACTGACCTCTAAAATCACCTTGAGGTCCTCCAGGAAATGCCACTGCATTGGAGTCAATTTTTTCGCTGGCAGGGTCTGCTGAAGGAACCTATCAAGGGGCTGGGCGACTATAAGGCTATGACAAGATGTTTAATTTGGGGACCTTTACCTTGTGGAGGGTCCATAAATGATTCAGCATCACATAGGCTGAATCCCAACATGTGGGTTCATCTAGCAGAAGTTCGACAACTGGGAGCTGTCTGGGATTGCCTTCATCATCCTTGTACCAATTTTTCTTGTTCCCCCTAACAATCATATCCTTAAAGCCCTTGCATCATTTAGCAGACCTGCAGATTGTATGTATAACATCTCTGGCACAGTCGAGAGCCTTGCTTCTTAAGGCTGTGACATACTCCACCTTCTGGATGGTTGTGCCATCTACTACCCAACTGTCATCCACATGGGTAAAGTCAAGCATTGGGTAGTCTTGGAGGATATGCTGCACACATGTGTTAATAATATGCGGGAAACAAGGGATTCGTTGAGCGGTTGGATGGAAAGTTACATCATGCGCGCTCAGTAAGGATGACAGCTCCTGCATGCAAGTGCTGTTATTTCCAGCATTATCTAAAGTAAAGTGCCCCATCTGTGTGAAATCAGAGTATGCCACATTGTGAAAGTAAGCACTTACATTCTCTGTTACCTCAGCATGATCAAGAAGCTTGATCATCTCGCCTGCTAGAAATATTCTGGTATGACTGCCAGGGATGCGGTGGAAAGCAATCAGTGCTGCCTTCAGGATGAGTGCTAACAAATGTTTCTCTCTGGCAATCCAGTGTGTGGTGACTGCCATAAATGGATGGAGCTTAGAATTTGACCAGAGGTCAGATGTAAATGAGATCTTGCCAAGCACTCCCTGAAAGATGTAAGATTCTGTGTGACTCTCAACAACTGTGCACTTACCACAAGGTCACACTTCAAAGCTCCAAAATATTTGTTGAATGCTTCAAGTATCAATTCATGAATTTTGGTTTGATGGAAAATATCTGTATCTTGAAGCTCAGGCCGCAGAAGATGAATCAATTGTCAAAATTCAGGGCCCTCAATGACATTGATTGCCTGAAGATACGATACTTAAGAACAAAAACATGTAGACAGCAAATGACTCACCTGATCATCAGCAACTATAAATTTTACAAGCTGACGATGCATCTCATCCAGTGAGAAAGCAGGTAATACCTCATCCCAAGGTCCCAAAGGTCCTGGGAGTGAGTTGCTAACTTCACAATTAGGGGGGGGGGCCAAGTGAGCCAATCATTTTAGTTGGGTTCTTCAGCACTTGAAGGATACCTCCCAACGTCCAGCCACCTTCAATAGCTTCTTTCAAGGCCAGTATGTATATAGGCCAGCGGTTGCATTCTAACGCTTCGATGTAATGCTGGGTGTGGACTTGAAAAAGGTGTTTGCGACGGGTTGTTGTCCCAGTGCTAGTACTGTATGTGGTGACAATATATTCTGGGTCTCCTTCACGAAGCTCCCTGGTGAAAATTGTAAGAAAAAATGCAAGACTCATAGACACAATACTTACTTGCATAGTTTGCAGACTCACCACTTATTGATGGTGTCTTCCCTGAAAAAGTAAGCTGAATCTTGAGCAGCTTTGGGCCTCTTTCCTTGACCACCCATAGCATATGGGTCAGTCCAGGCGGTATCTAGGGTTGCTTGAAGTGGGCTAGGTGCTGCTCCATCTTTATCTTCATCACCAGAAACATTGAGGTGGAAATATTCTCCCTCATCTGTTGTGCGACTTGGACCAGGGTGAGTGGAAGCATTGGTTGTAGGAAGTTGACAGGTGATATGTAGGGTAGTAGCATTCACTGATGCTAACATAGCAGTAGGAACGCAGGCAATAGCAGGGATAGCAGGGGTGATAGCAGGGATAGTTGGGGTGATAGCAGGAATAGCATGAGTGATGGGGATAGCAGAGGCAACAATGATTGGGATGGAGTCAGCAGTAGGAAGGGGTTCAGCAGCTGTGGGCACCACAACAACTTGGGGCCTGCTCTGCCCACGTCAGTGAGGCATGTTGAGGATGGAAATCTAACCATACAACTTGCTGTCTATATAAGGTGAGTGCTGGCTGAGTCCAAAGTGCAAGGCAACACAGTAAAGATAGAGATGTTGTGCATCAGCAAAATTTTCCCCATGCGGCAGGCTGGGCACATGTTGTATGATAAACTGCAGCACCTGAATTGGGGGCAGAACAAGGCCAGTATTGCCACCTATCTGCAATCAATGAATATGGAAGAGGTGTCTAAGGTCAGGAGTCAGGACTGACCATCTTTAGAAAGTGAGATCATCACACTGTGATGATGAAAGGTCCCAAACATGGCACAGTTGTATGCGCATAGAGCCAGATGGCCCAGATCTCTAGCAACAAACACCATTAGTATAATCTCCAAGCCATGGTGGCTTGATAACACTGCACTCAATCAAGTGAAAGGAAGTACCTTCATCACTCACTTGACCGATTGAATTCTGACTATGGATCATGATGCAATGAAGTCACCTGGTGAAAAGAGAGCGGTGTGTTAGCTAAATACAGTGGCTCAAAAAACTGTCCACATGTTTTGACATTTTTCACTATCTATGATATTGTGTGAGAACAAACAAATGCCTCAAGGACATGCTTATACCACATTGTAGTATGGCTTCAGGGCTTTCATTTGAGCCCTATACCGTGGGAATCGGTGGAGATATGGTGGAGACATAAGGCTTATAAAATGATGACTCATGTGGACAGTTTTTTGAGTGTATATTAAAACTATATAAATCATTATTTATGACACCACAAAAATCATGCCACTATTATATAAATTATGAAGTGGTGTCATTATGTTATTTTATGACTATATCTAACTATATAAACCAGAATATCTCATGTATCATAGTCATAATCACCATGAAAGCCATCTCCTCTGCTCAAAGAAATAATATCCTCTCTCTGTCTTATGCTGGCCTCTCTGCTCGCCAAATTTCCTCTAGAACTGGAGTATGCAAGTCCACTGTGGCCAAGTTTATCAAAGAAAGCCACCCAGACAAGGAAAACTCTTGTGGAGGATGTCCATCCAAGCTTACCTCTACTGACAAAAGGGCTATTATCCAACATATCACTACAGGAAAGGCTGATAATGCTGTCCAAGCCACCCATTATATCAATTCCACCATCACTACCTCTGTCTCTTCACAAACTGTGAGGAATGTTCTCAAGGCAGCTCATCTCAAGGCAGTAACAAAGAAGAAAAAGCCTCTTCTCTCCATCAAACATAGGCAGAGAAGACTAGCCTTTGCCTTAGCTCATCAACACTGGACTGTAGAGGACTGGAAGCATGTTATATGGTCAGATGAGACCAAAATCAATAGGATTGGATCAGATGGGAAGGTATATGTATGGAAAAAGAAGGGAGATGGCCTAACAGACAGAGAGGTTAATGGGACTGTCAAGCTTGGAGGAGGTTCTTTAATGGTATGGGGCTGTATGGGATGGAATGGTGTGGGAATGCTTGCTGAGGTTGAGGGGAAGATGAATACTGAGCAGTATGTGGACATTTTAAATGACCACTTGCTGCCTAGCTTGGCAGAATCAGGGATTGATGAAGAAGATATCATTTTCCAACAGGATAATGATCCCAAGCACACATCCAGAAGAGCTAAGGAATGGTTTGAAGAACATAACATCAATGCTCTTGACTGGCCAGTACAGTCTCCTGATGTCAATGTCATTGAACATCTCTGGGAGACACTCAAGAAAAAGCTTCAAGCCTACGAAAACCCCCCTAAAGTGTTACGGCGAACCGTAGGTCGACTAGGATGGGCACGACGATAGGTACTCGATAAGAGTACGCCTAAGGCTGGATCGTGTCCTCACAAATGTAAGGTTCTTTAAGACAAGTCAGAGAGAGTGTCTCTGGCTTGAATATCGGTTATCAGACGACTTAGGATTGGAGGTCCTAAGCGAAGGATAGTTCTGGGTAAAACCTAGTAGATTAAAGTGAAGTTCTATCTAAGTACATGACCGGGTTTATATAGTCGTAGACTCTTTAGGGCAGGTAAGTATACGTCATCGGTTGAGTCAGAGATAAGCGATGAGTCATCTAGACGTCATCGGTTGAGTCAGAGATAAGCAATGAGTCATCTAGACGTCATCAGTCGAGTCAGAGATAAGGAGGTGAGTCACCTAGCGATGGCATGTGGCGATCATGATGTAATACAACAGATATAGGAAGAGGGTCAGTCTAATGATGGCACAGCGAGGTGCGGTCACAACATAGTACACCGGTAAGAAGAGAAAGAAAATAGGGGCGTAACCACGACTGTAACATTACCCCTTGTTTAGTGATGAAGTCACCGACTTCACATATCTTGGTTAGCCCAGTAGATGGGGTCTGCATCGTAGTTGGAATGAAGGAGGTCGTCCTGCTCCTCCATGATGGTGGTCTGTGCCATTTGCTCAGCATGAGTGATGGTGTCTTGCTCGATCTCCCAGCGCGCAAGTGCGTCGTAGAAACCGACGTCGGTCCACACTAAAGGGATAACTGCTTCCCCTTTTAACTCTCGGCAGAAGACCGACAAATGACCCGGCGCATATTCTTTGCAAACTCTGCAGTAGTACGTGGGACAGTTCTTGTGACGGTGACCGGCAATGTGGCAGTTACAACATACAACGTTGTCGACCGGCGATGTCTTCATGACTGTGATGGACGAGGATTGGTTCGGGGGGGACGGCAACCGTGAACGTTTAAGAGGTGCTTTAGTGGGGGAGACGGAGGCGGCTCGTTTAGCAGCGAGGTGAGAGGATCTTCGCTTAAGCGGGAGTCATCGTGCGGTGCGTATGATTGGGTCAGGAGAAGGAGAAGTCGGTATGTCAAGTATGGCAATAGGAGGGATATTATCATCCTGATGCTCCACAGTGTTTGCGGCAGGAGCTGGCAGTGGTACGGGGATGATGACATGGGGTGAAGGTGGTCATGCGACAGGGTCGAGGGTGATTTGCTCAGTGACAATATGAATGGCTTCTCTGATAGCATCTCTTGTGTCTTCTGGTAAGAGACGGATTGCGGTATTGCGAATGCACATGTGAAGGTGGCGAAAAATGGTTTGATGACGCTCATCATCAAGGAGAGTGGCAGTGCATTCGATAAGGCTGGCATCTCTAATGATTCTGATTATAAGACCGCTAGAGATTGCTCCTCTCTCTCCAAGGAGGCGGTCTATCTCAATAGCGTACTGTTGGGAGGTGATAGCGGATTTGAACAAAGCACTGGTTTTGATCTGATCAATGACGGAGAAGTAATCGGTAAGGGTAGAGTTGTTGGTCAAGGTGAGGGTGGAGTCAGAGGTCGGTGGAGAGGCTACAGGGGGTGATGCGTGTTGCACTAGATCAGTGGCGGTGGCATTCTGATAGTCTAGAAGTGTCAGGGGATGGGCATTTCCTTCAGCGACGGTGTTCATGGCAGTGGTGAGTTCTTCGATGCAGAGGATGCAAAGACATAGTCGTTTGATGTGGGACATTGTTGGAAAGTCTACAGCCCATGGGCCCTTTTATAGGCATAGAGGGTGTTGGTGGCATTAGTTAGATTTCCTTCTGGAACCCACTCGTTGCTAGCGGATGAATATCCTTTCCAGGACACAAGATAGCGTCTTCGTTTACCCGTTCCTTTGTGCGATAAGATCGCATCAATCTTGTATTCTTCTTCGTTATCGATGATGTCAGGTGGTGGGTCGTGGAAGTTCGGTCTGTGGACTTCTGTCTCATGATAGGATGATAGTTCGGAAGCATGGAATGTGGGATGAACCTTCCATTGGGGCGGTAGTCGGAGTGTGAATGTGATAGGGGACAGGACGGCGGTGATTGGGAATGGGCCATATCGCTTAGGAGTGAGCTTTTGTGAAGGTAATTGCATGATCAGGTTCTTCCCAGATAACCAAACCTTATCTCCAATCTTCCAGGGGTGATACTTTTGTCCGTGAGTTCTTTCTGCCATACGCTGCATCGCAAGGTTGTGGCAAGAGAGCGCTTCTTCTCTAGACTTTTGGAGTGAGCAAAGTCTGTCCGTTGCTGCGGGAACTGTGGAGTCAGGAAGGGTGTGTGGAAGGGCTTGTGGTTCATATCCCATCATTAGGAAAAATGGCGATGCGTTGCGAGAGTTGTGTTTTTGGTGGTTGTGAACGAATTCTGCCATGGGGAGATGTTCTACCCAATTTTTGGGGTTATTCCGACAATAGATCTGAAGGTATGTTTCCAACTCCTGGTTGAGTCGTTCAGTCTGACCGTCAGTCTGGGGATGGTAGGCGGTTGACGCCACTATGTCGTACTTTAGGAGTTTGGCAAGGGCTTTAGAGAACTTGGATATAAATTGGGGACCACGATCAGAGATGACCTTTTCGTGTAGGCCAAATCGTTGATAGACGTATTTGAAGAACTTGCTGGCGACTCCTTCGGAAGTGATAGTTTTGGTACAAGGAATGAGAATTACCCCCTTCATAAGCCCATGGTCGACCACGACCATGACAGAATCAAAACCAGCACAGGGAGGGAGGTCGGTGATTAGATCAATGGAGACCTGAGCAAATGGTGCTGTGGCGGCGGAAGGGATAGGGACAAGGGGAGGGGTTGACGGATGAGTGTCAGACTTCATTTGCTGGCAGAGGGTGCAACCCTCAACATATTTACGAATGTAGGTGCCCATGGCGGGCCACCAAAAATTGCGTTTAACTAATTCTTCAGTTTTGAAACGTCCCGGGTGACCGGCAGAGGGGTGGTCATGACATCGTTCTAAAATGAGACTCCGTCCAGCAGGGCGGACGTAGGCGCAGTCCTTGTAGTAAAGAATATCGTCGTTGATTTTCCAATCAGTGAGAGCAGATTTCATAGGAGGGAGAGACAGGCCATCCAGTGCATCGGAGGTGGCGGTGAAGATGGGATCGGGGTCAGAGGGGTCAGGGTTCACGAGTGTGGTCATGAGTTCAACGTCAAGAAGTCGGACGAACATCGAATCTGGCAAGAGGGTTTCATTGGCATCATCATCCAAGGAATCTGCTCCGTGATCGGGGCAACGGGAAAGGGCATCAGGGGCAACAAGTTTGGTCCCCGCAACATGGTGAAGTTCAATGTCATAGCATGACAGGATTAGCTGCCATCGAGCTTGGCGGTGTGTCAATTTCTGGGCCGTCCTAAAATATAGGAGGTTCTTGTGGTCGGTGAAGACAATGATAGGATGGGGATTTCCTTCCAAGTAATGACGCCATTCAGATAACACACGAATAACCGCAAGAAG